AACCGCCCCGCTGCCACCCTGCGTCCGGTCAGCTTCTCCGGAAGGTGATGCTGCGCGAGCGTCTTGCTCCGACACGGAACCCCCCTCCGTGGAGCGATACACGCGGTCCCGGAAAGGCCCATCTGGGCTGATCTTGAAGAAGCCTGGTTAGGGTTCGGATGGGAGACCACCAGGAGATCCCAAACTGTGCCCCGGACCAGGAAATTGGAAAGCTAGCCCAGAAGTCGGGGGCAAACTGCCTCCAGATCGCCGCCAAGAAGCCCACGTGGACCAGTCCGTAAGGTCACAGGGGCCGCCCTTGACCTGAAGAGGACTGGACTTCTAGGCAGAGCTCGGCGCTGGGTGGGACGTGATGGCTGTGAGACCGTACCAAGACCCCCAGCGTGGCATCACTGTCAGACGCACCAGCGCGTCCCTGGAAAGGCAGAAGACTTCAAGCTTGGCTGTAACTCCCCGTAACTGCTTGACCCTCCAAGGGAAGATCTCCTGGAAGCATCAGGAAATGCCATGGTTCCGAGGGGAGCCGTGTGGCTTCCCAGCTCTTGGTCCGGGCAAAGGTGCTTTGGGTGCCCAGATCCCTGGAAGGTTCAGGAGTTGGGAGACGGGGATGCATTTCAGCATCTTTCATCTGAACCCAGGGCCTACCCCGATTTTCTGCATCCTGCTTGGCAGAAGACAGTCCCACCTGGCGTCCTTCTAGGGGATGAATCATCAGCCAGTCTGGGTTTGTTCACAATGAAACCGCCCAAAAGCCCAAGGTGCAAACAGAAAGATCTCGGGGCTGCCCGTCAGCAGTTGTCCGCCCCACCAGATAGATCAGACCAGGAATCAGCATCCCAGGAAGGATAAATCTACTTTCATTGAGATGGGCTAGAATAGAACAGCAGGATCTTGCAAGTCTGATTGTGTTGTACCTCCTCCCCTTCTTCTACCCATGTGAATTAGGGAGGTGTCTGTCTGAACCACTTCCAAATTTATTTCTTTGGTTTAATGGATATTATCGGTCTGTTGTGGATTTAAGATAGCTTTTCCCCTTGTCACTTTGATAACGGATCTCACCTATTTTCATCAAGATCATCTTCCGTACTCTCTACAGCAGTATTTTTCAACCTTGGCAACTTTAAGATGGGTGGACTTCAACTCCCAGAATTCCCCAGTGAGCCTACGGATCTCCAAATCTCAGTCTGTCCGGGAGATATTTTTATTTATTTAGTTAGTTCATTAATGCATTTACATGGCCACCCAACTCAATGCAACTATGGGTGGTGTATAACAAAAAACAGCGGAAAAAAGGTAACCATACAGCATTAAAAAAACAACCCAACTTATAAAATGTACAAAATGGCAGCTGAACGTGATTATTAAGCATCCGTAAGGAGAGACCTAAGCACCTGAGGGGAAAGGCAGGTCTTAACAGCTTTTCTAAAGGCCAATGAATGAGAAGAATCATTTTTAATATTACACTCCATGTACATGTGCAGGAGGGTCTGCAGAAGGAGTCAAAAGAGTCAAGCTGGCTGCCCTTGACACATGCAAAAAAAGGATGGGGCTTTGCACCCGTGGTTGTGGCTGCCATCTTGATTTTTTGACACCCCCATATATGTGTACAAATTAAAATGCACTCAAAGTTTATGTCCAGCGGTGTTCTCATTTTTTACGGGGCTTCCTCTCTGGGACAAGATTTCAACGGACTCTTTACTTTGGCTATAATAATGCCTTCTGTCATTTATTTATCTATTTACCTGTGCTGACCACCTCAAACCTGAATGACTCTTTTTGCCTTTTTTTTTTTTTAAAGTCCAGCCCCGACAATAAATATATTTAT